AGACATACCCCAAGCGACTTACAGCTGTAATCGCAGCAAAAGGTGGTGCTACAAAGTATTAACTTAAGGGGGCTGAATAATTTTGCACGCCCAATTTTTCAGTTTTTTATTTGTTAAAAAAGTTTGAAATATCCAATAAATTTCGTTCCACTTCATGATTGTGTCCCACTTGTTGTTGATTCTTCACAAAAAATTACAGTTTTATATCTTTATGTTTGAAGCCTGAAATGTGGCAAAAGGTCGCAAAGTTCAAGGGGGCCGAATACTTTCGCAAGGCACTGTATATGCTTCTATCTTTCAAACTCAGAAGATATCTAGAATTCACATCAACTTTTAAAACCACAGAACATATTAAGAGACAGATTTCAATGTCTACACAAATAAGGCCAACATTTCTAAAAGAGAACTACCTTAAATAACTGTGTAAGGGTGTTAAATATGTACTTGGTGACAGTGTTGTAGTCGACTCACTAAACCTCGAGTCCAAGTCGAGTCTTGAGTCCTGAGTGTTTGAGTCCAAGTCACCACAGAATCGAGTCTGAGTTGAGTCGCTGTTACTCCGGTCAGTCATCAAGGTCTATATTAATTTGTTGACTGAATGTGCTGCTACCCAGACCGAAGTCAGTTCAGGAGCCACATTCACATCCACGAGCCCCGTGAACACAAGAATGATAACAATAACATCATTTGTGCAACAGTAAAAATGCACAATTTCCTCAAAAAATGCTGAATTAAAGTATATTTCTTCTGGGCTGGTGTGTGTCCAACAAATCCTGAACTTCCTCCTCTCTCTACTGACCTCCATTATTGTTGTTGCTCTCCTCCATGTTTTACTGGTCTGTGAGGGGCCGACACTAAATGATAACCATAGATGTTATGCACATCCATGGAGGAGTAAGATGTTTTAAATAATAATAATAACTAGAAAATTGCATTTTCTGAAGAAAATGCGTATGGATGCTGAGTGCTGAAAGATCGCCCTGAAAATGCTGAACATTTTGACACCTGAATGATTTTGCTAGCTGAAAGTATGCAGAAGTAGAATTTCTCCATTCATTTCAATGGGGCAAAATTTTCAAAATAAAGCTAAATATTTCAAAAGTAGTAAGCTTCAAAAAATTCTGAAGAGAAGCATGAATGTCCTTGGAGAGCTGAACATTTTGATAGCTGAATTTATGCTGAAGTAGAATTTTCAAAATAAAGCTAAATATTTCAAAAGTATGAAGTTTACAAAAGTTCTCAATAGAAACAAGAATGTCCTTGAAGACCTGAACATTTTAATAGCTGAAAGTATGCTGAAGTTGAATTTTCCCATTCATTTGAATGGGGCAAGATTTTCAAAATAAAGGTAAATATTTCAAAGTTAATAGGTTTAGAAAAATTCTAAAGTGAAGCATGAATGTCCTTGAAGAGCTGAACATTTTGATAGCTGAAATTATGCTGAAGTTGAATATTCCCATTCATTTGAAAGGAGCAAGATTTTCAAAATAAAGCTAAATATTTTAAAAGTATGAAGTTTTCAAAAGTTCTGAAGAGAAGCATGAATGTCCTTGAAGAGCAGAACATTTTAATAGCTGAAATAGCTGAAAGTATGCTGAAGTAGTTAAGTGCCAAAAAACGTACGGAAGAATAATAATAATAAAGAAATAAATAATTGGAAAACATAGTATGGATGCTGACTCAGCATCCATACAACAATCCAGTCTGACATTTCTTAAAGTGGTTGCACAGTAAGAGATTAGATATGATTTGGATCCATCACTGCATATGCGAGTTGCCCACATGTGACATGAAAAAATCCAATTTGGTTTGTTCACACTGATCTGAGTCACTTGGAGGAAAAAAAAAAAAAGAGTACTTAGCAGTTAATATTAAATTAGTCTTAAGGTCTGCCCCAAAAGTTGCTAGATTCACTACTCAACTTAAAAATGAAAAAACAACATTGCTAAAGGGGTCTTAAAAGTTACCAATTCTAGTGACACTGTTGCCAGTTATGGTTGCTAATCAATGATCAAACAATCACTATCTGAGGGAGTGTTTGACAAATGGTTAATTCCAAACTGATGAAATAGTTTTTTTACTGTATATGCTGCACTTGCAGATAATGCACTTTGTCACCAGTGTGTACTAAGAAAACTTTCATTCAAATGTTATCTGTATGTAAAAGACTTTGTACATTTCTAGTGTTTGTGCACATTTTCCAAAAATATTTCTGAGAATTCAAAAATGATACATAAGTGATTTTGCTGTTGAAAATGCGCAGTATCAAGCACAGGAATATAAAACTAGGCATTATAACTGTACTGATTCAAAATACACTGTTTTATTAGAATGAATGCAATTAATTATTCAAGAAAAAACTAACAGAATTTTCAGCCAAACCCAAGCTGTGAACTGTTCCACCTACTTTTAAAAATTACTTACAGGGGACACATAAGAGCAATTTGTTTTGGTCCACCAAAGCCACAATACACACGCTAAGCAATGTGACCACTTCTACCTTGCAGTCAACATTCAGAAAAGCCAAAGTGATAAATCATTCATGCAGCCGGTACACTATCACAGGCCACATTAAAAATACACAATGTACACACAACCAAGGAACACTATAAAGAGCTTCCCTAGCTTCCTTCAGAGGCTGAATGGAAGTATTTACACTTCTGTTTAAAGGGCTCTCGGGGTCTGTCTGTTTAGAAATATGGGAACTGAAAATATCAGTTCAAAAGGTGGATATGGATAAATATTCTGTGTCTGATTTTACAGTGTCTGGACTTCAGCCTGAACAAACAACGAAAGAGATCGTTGTTTTTTGTGTTGTGAGATGAAATCAACCGTCAGTGTCCTTCCACATTCAAAGTTATCTGCGGAATGTAGCTGAGCAGAAATGTCAAAAGTATCAGCAGAATCCTTTTTAAAATGCCCAGGCAGCTTTTTTTTTAAAATGAGGGAATAAGAACTGATCAAAAGCGACATTGCGCTGACCTTTTGGTGCTGAACATCCTGGCAGCGTCTTCTTTCCCCTGCTTGGTGGCTCTGGAGGGGTCAAGGTTTGATGCTGACTTTTCAAACCTGCAGGAAGCATCCACACACACACACACACACACACACACACAACAAAAGGAGAGAAGAGTGAGATCTTCCCCACCACAGTCAAATTGCCCTCAAGTTGTCTTGGCTTTGGCCACGCTGACCTCAACAACCTTCATTAGCTGGCCTCCAGCTGAGTCAGTCAAATTGACTGAGCATAGCAGGAGGCAATAAACAGAGCATAACTCAGCCAACATGACAAAACAATGCACAGATCCAAATGGCAACTTTAAAAACTCTATAGCTCAACACAACAGTGCCCATTTAAAAGAGAGCAGAATTAATTTGCACTGAAGCTCAACTGAAGTAATAAGGAACAATTAAAAGAGGAACTACAGCATATACAGTGTCTACTTGTGTAAGCACACATGCCACATACAGGCCTTTAAACTGCACAGTCTCTGAATGGTTAAATCTCCAAATGGGTCTCTCCCTATAACTTAGTGCTATACCTAACACACTGTGTAACCTTTATAAAAAAGATCGAAGGCTAACGTAGACTGTGGAACAGGACCTGGAAAAAAAAGAAGATGGGGTTCAATAATTAATGTTGAGGTCTATACAAGCCTCACTTCTCACCCTTTCCTGTCTGTAATGAGATGAGTGGAGGGCCAGAGGGAAGGAGGGAGGGAAAGGGAAGGAGAATTGGGGCGATTAAAGCACCCGGCTCGGCCCTATGTGATTTTTTTCTCCCTTCCATCAGTTAGACACATGGGCATGTACGCACATACACACCATCTCATCTCATTAATAACACCTGCAGGGTGTTCCCTCTCTCCAACACACTGGCAGGGAGCAGAGGGGGGGGTTAATAGTTAAATAAGCAGGCATCAAGGTTAACAATGTAGTGTGACACCGGAAAGATCTGATAATTCATTCAGGTGCAAACCACAGATATACTCACTTCTCTGAGTAATCTAAGGCAGTGCAGAGGTCAACTTTGTCACAAACACAACAGCAGTACAGGCAGGATGCCACAAAAATGTATTGCTGCATCATGTTGATCTTGGTGGACTGTGTTTGCAGGCAAGAAAATATTTTAAATAGAGCCTGCAGTTAAGATGAATCATTCTAACAGTGCATTACTCTGAAGGTACAGTATGATGTGTGCTTGATAATCCAGCTGGAGTAGGTTTTAGAGCACTTTCACTTTTAGAAGCCAAACAAAACAAACTATTCAAATAAGGGTAAAAGTCAAAGGTGGCTTCACTAAAGCACATACACACACATTTTAACTGAAGAGTCAACAGCTATGATAGAGACTCTGTGAGGCTATAGTAAGGCACAATGGAACTTTGAGCTAAATGCTAATTTTGACTGGTAGTGTGTATTAATTAAAGATGTTACAATTCATCCTAAGGGGAAATTGCAACAGGTGTACCAATATTTGATGACACTTTTTACTTTAAATACAACTGAAATTAAATCGCATGCTTTTTACAAAATATACATTTGCTCTGTATATCAGATATCTTTTCTCTTTTGGAAAAAAACATCAGAAACAGTCTAAGAGGAGTCAGTGATAAGGAAAAAATCTTGTGCAGAGGGATTAGTAATTCAAGAACTCTCTGTTTAATCATTTATGCTCGCCATTTAGGATTATCATTTTCATGCCAGTAACTCTCTTGCTATAGATTGCTTAATAGTTTTGTGGATATATACGTTTGTTTTGGCTGGCTGTCTTTGAGATCCTTTAAGCATATTGCACCTGAACCTGTCTGCCATGAATCCAAAGGCCACAGAGAGGGTGAGATGGCTCAGTGGGGCCAGGTTTGACCAATTCCCAGTTCACTATGGATTAGCCATTGAAAGAATGCCATGCACCAGAGGAAGTCTCCCTCTTCAACTGAATGATTGTACCATGCCAGAGGCATTTTCCGACCCCTACAAAAGGTGAGGAGCACACATTATTATGTTAAATCCAGATCATAAATTATTAATCTGAGAGCACAAATTAAGTAAATTGAGACCCTGACTTAGTAAACCATGTGCATTTTTTTTTTTACATTCTGACACCTGCACTCTGTAGAAACCAAAAAGAGAAAAACTTACATTTTGCAGTTTTTAGGTTTCATAGGGTGCCTATCTTTCCATTAATTTTTCAGAACAGTACGGTCTATGGTCTGTATGTCAACTTGTCCAACACTCAAGTGGATCCGAATGGACCCGAGCCTACGCAGTATAATCCCATTCTGATAATGTGTGCACCACAGTCACCTCAGGACAAAACGAAGCAAGAAGGAAGTGAAAAGAAAAATGACCCCATGGGTGCTTGTTAATTAAACGACCAATCAATTATCATGCTGCTGCCGATGTATGTGTTCTCTTTATGTTCAGCTGTGTTCGACTGAATTTTAGATCAGGTCCATTTATATTCAGGTCAGTCTTATTCAGCATTTCATGGCAATGAATCCAGTAGTTGTTAACATACAGTACATCAGGTGATAAATTACAGAAAATATTGAATACGTGACCCCTGCAGTGACGAAATCCAGTGGTTCTGTAATGCTGGGGTTGGGTGGAGGGCTGGCATGGTTTAAATGCACTTGTCCCCTTTGAGGGAAGGCTCACTGCAAATCAGTACAAAGTTGACCTGAGTAATCACCTTTATTCTGTGATGAAACATTTCTCTCCTGATGGGAGTGGTCTTTTCCAAGATGACAGCGGCCCCATCCATAGAGCACAAGGGGTCACTGAATGATTCGAGTATAAAAACAGCGTGAATCATATGCTGTAGCCTTCACTGTCACCAGATCTCAACCCAGCTAAACATCTATAGAAGATACTGGGCCGACGTGTTAGACAGCTTCTCCAACACCATGATCAAATCAGCAAATGAGGGAATAGCTTTTGGAAGAATGGCGTTCATCCCTCCAGTGGAATTTAGACCTGCAGGATCAGTGCCAAGGTGCACTGAAGCTGTTCAACATATTCATGGCCCAGCTCCTTAGTAAGATACTTCTTTTTTCCCTTAATTTGTCACTCATCTATAGATCAGTTTGGACCAAACTGCAATATTGTCATCCCCAGAAACTCTTTACAACAGTACATGCCATCTCAACAGGCTCTGTTTTTACACAAAAAACTTTTCATACCATTATGCCAGCAGGGACATATTAATGAGATGAGAAATATCTTGTTATAAAAGGCTGCGGGTACATGCACAGTGAAAGGCAATTAGCATAAAATGCTTCATTTCATTAAAACAAACATTTTATCTAATTTGAGAGAAAATTCAGAGCCCAGGGACTGCAGAGTGATGATTTCCTTTTCCATTGCTCTTAAAATGTGACTCATCCTCCATCACAGTGTTGCAGAGAATGTAAATGATTGCACAAAATGCTTCACCAAACCCAGCACTCACCTCACAAAAATAATAACAAACCTCCAATCTCTCAAGGGTCTATACCAAAACAAGACAAAAATTGAAAATGCCTTTAGAAAATGATTTGGTATTATATGAGGCCAGCTTCAACTGCGAGAGGGGTTAAGAACAAACCAATAACCTTATTTTTTTCCCCCTCAGATTTTCTGTAAACTGTGAAGGCAGGCACTCGACTCACAAGCTTTTATGTTCTATTTGGTAAGAAAATTTGTATAGAGCTAATGCTTGGTGTCCTTGGCTTTGACTGTGTCATGTGTGCTAGCTAGTACAATCTTGCAAGGTTCTTTCTGTTTTATGCAAGCATGTAGGGGCTTGTTGTCTTTCATTTCTCCTTTTAGAACACCTTTAATCTGTAATTTGTTCACAGATTTGAAGTTCTTAATCTGCTTTTGGTATATCTTATAAAGTATAACTTAAGCTTATAGGGGATGAAATGTAGAGAATAATGTAATTATTGATCATGATTTAGACCTATCATATCATGCCGCTATTGTTTCAAAATAAGCGTGTTTATTGAACTGAGCCCATTGGCCACTGTCAGCCCATCAGTGAGCACCGGTTTCCCTAGTTTTTGCGGTGTGTCGTGCACTGATGGCACTAGTTGGGCCCTGTCAGCCGCTTTTCATCCAGCTCAACGTGTTGAACTTGGGGGGATGCGATCAGTGAGGGAGACCACTATCATTGGCTGCTCACAATGTACAAGAAGAGAAACGTTCGGGAAAGCCCATTGACACTGTTTCCATAGTGTCCATGATTTCAGCCATTTAGTGCAGTTTTTCCTTATTTTTCACCATCAATTTCCTTTCTTCTTCCACAAGAAAAGACTAAGGGCCAACAAAGCCAATTCCATTGGCACTTTCTTATCAGACATATTGTTCTTATCTTATCTTCAGACATATTCTACTCACTCTTATAGCAGTTATAAACTATCTGTGGTGAGAGAGAGCTGCTTTGTTTACAGTGTGTATATCTGCTGTTCTAGGTCTTCCACTTTCCTTTTTTAATATGACAAATACAGATACCGCCAACTGCTGGTACAGAGTTATTTTCTCTCATGCAGGTGCAGAATGTACATGTTAGTGGACAGTTGGCTGTAGTCTGTCCTGTGTGTACAAGTGCCACTTTTGGTCCCGATGAAGGTGACTATAATGGCAATGCAACAGTCAACCTTCGTTGCTCCTGGCTGTTTGATGTCAGCTTGGTCTACCTCTGCCCTAAGACCCAAAATAATCAAATGGTGTGTCTAGAGTAATACATGGAGTATACACCGATCAGGCATAACATTATGATACAGTGGTGTGAAAAAGTATTTGCCCCCCTACTGATTTCTTATCTTTTTGCATGTTTGTCACACTGTAATGTTTCAGATCATCAAACAAATTTAAATATTAGTCAAAGATAACACAAGTAAACACATCATGCAGTTTTTAAATGAAGGTTTTTATTATTAAGGGAAAACAAAATCCAAAACTACAAAGCCCTGTGTGAATAAGTGTTTGCCCCCCCTGTCAAAACATAACTTAACTCTGGTTTATCGC